CTTACTGTTCCCGGGTTTGGGTCTTTAGAGCTTCTACAGCTTAAGCCGCTTTTTCCTCTATGCGGGCTAGAAATACCCTAAAGGGTACTGGGCCCTACCTGATTGTGAGGCGGGAACATTTCCCCTTTGATAGGAAACTTGTTAACAGGTGGTCTGTTTTCAGTGTAGCTGCACTAGTGGTCCACATTAATAGGAATACTACTAAACCGGTCGAGTGTGCTCACCTTTTGAGATTTTACTGACAAAGTCTCCTCTTAAATTGTATTTTCCGCTTTTACAGTCAATTTTGAGAAAACCCCTCTATATGTTTATGTTAAAACATTTTTTTTTTGATGTTTTGTTGCAGCAGGTAGAATAGCTGGGTCCAAGTTTTTCCTGAGAGCCTTCACAGTGACTTGTCCGTATACAAAGACTGAGGACAGGAATGTGTGGAATGTGGTTCTTTCATTAACGTACAATGGAGAAGCCAGGGTTGTAATCTTTTAACCTTCCATTAAGATAGGCAGTGTTCAAATCTACTTCACAAATGATAATGAAATCAGCTAGCACAGTACAAACACAGTTAACCAAAGCCCTTCCTAACATTACAAAGAAGGAGAAGCAAGGTGAAATGTTAGCAAATAAAAAGCACTTTAAACTGCAAGAAGCATATTTTAAACTTTTTTTTAACTTATGTGATGTGAATAGGAAAATGTAACAAATATGAAATGGGTGTTATCCCAATTTGGCTTCAAAAGTGGAAATACGCTTTAAGTCCCAGTGTGATTTAACTGGTGTGGCCCTATATCCTATGTTGGTGAAAACTTTATTCTGTCAGACCGTGCCAGGATGGGTAGAATTCCTTAAACGGGATCCTTCCACTGGAGGGGTAGGTCCCGATTTCATTGTGTGACTGGAGCAAATGCCTGGAGCCTTGTGCTTTAGTTGTGATGGCTTGCTGCAAGCTTGTGTCTTGTAATGGGACTGAGGTTGGCGCTATATAAAGCGCTGCACAAACTGTTGGCGCTATATAAATCCTGTATAATAATGTCCATACATGCACAGAGCACTTTGGCAGTGTCCCACAGGAGGAGAGGAACTGTCACAGGAGGCCGAGAGGTGCAGGGAAGGAGAGAGATGTGAGCTGTCGGCGTGTCACATGTGGCCGGACTCTCCACCCTGCTCAGCCTCCTGTGACAGATCAGGAGAGTGGTATGGGGGAGGAGTCAGCTGTCAAAGGAGACCGAGCTCTCTTCCCCGCACCGCTCGCTCAGCCTCCTGTAACAGCGAGTCAGGATGGAGAGCAGGTAAGGGCACTCGGTGATCAGTGATCGCTGAGTGTTTGTAAATAATTGAGGACAGAGTATGTTTAAAGTGTCCTCAATTATGAATGAATCAACATCACTTCCTGTTCTTCCTGTTCATTCATGATTGTATACATGGTAAACATACTATCGCCACAGTGTGTGAATGAACAGGAACACTCAGTATAGAGGATTCCTGTTCATTTATAACAGGAGCTGCTGCAGAAAAAGAGATTGAGGACTCTGTGTCTCAATCTCTTTTTTCTATTTTAAAAGGGAAATATCAGGGGTCTGCTTAGACCCCTAATATTTCTCCCAAAGCCCCAACAGTAGAGTAAAAAAAAACAAAAAACATTTAATAAAAATAAAAAAAATAAAAAGTTAATAAAAAATAAAAACAAATCAAATATTTTAAAAAATTTGAAAAGGTTAGAAAAAATAAATTTTTGGTTTCGGCCTGACATTTTTTTTATTTTTGGTTTTGTTTCGGTTTTAAAATTTGTATTTCGATGCACCTCTAGTTTATAGACCCTCTGCCAAGAAGAACATCCTCTAAGTGTATGGAAAACATTAAATCCTAATTGAAGTCACTAAAATGGATATTCATTTGGACAGACATTTGTCCTCCAACAGCCTCGATTTTTAATAGTTTCACCTCCACTTGCTCCAATCATGCTATGACAGCTGTGCTAGATATCCAACTATAAGACCCCGTTCACATTGAGCGATTTATTGCGCGGTAATTCCCGCGATATCGAGGCAAATTACCGCGCGATATCGCGCTCCAATGCAATCCAATGGGGCAAAGGGTCCTGCTGTCGCGGGTCGTGTGCCGCTACAGCAGGACCCTTTTTGGAGCGGATTTAGCCGCGATTTAAGCTTGCTCAATGCAAGCTTGAACGCGGCAAATCTCGCGATGTCGCGCAATATGCAAATCGCGCGACAAACGCGCGATTTGCATATCGCGCAGTGGGAACGGGGCCTCACCGTGCACAGTCCAATAGGCAGTAGAGTTTAATCTAGTGCAATCCAACATACCCAGTCATACATCACCCTTCCTTCTCAGCACTACGATTCTGTGTAAGGGCACCTGTGATGAGGGATGTGGCCTTTACCCATCTCTGCCAGCAAAGAACACTGGAATTTCGGCAGTGCCAAAAGTGTACTTTAAGTAATAAAAAAGGGGTGAGGTATATCCAAGTTGAGATCTTTAAAAAACCATAATGAGAAAAACAGCATTGTAGTGAGAGAGAGAGAGAGAAAAAACAAAGGCATGATTTCAGTTAGACTTTACGATTTTGATAGTATATCTATAAATGTGGTTTTGCAAGTTTTTCCCATGTGGGCAGTTTCATAATATATCATATTAATTTTCTTCTGGCTTTTGACAATTAGGGTTATTGTGGCTAGTAGACAGTTCCCTTTTGTGTGCCCATTTAGGCTAATATAAGTCCTATGGTATAGTCACACAAATGTTTCCCTGTCCCAGAAAAAGTTTAGAATGTTTAGAATTTCATGTGCTAGGAGGTTGTTGCATACAATATTTTGATCTGCTTGGCGGACATCTGAAATCTTCTAATATTTTTACAATTTCATAACCACTTGTTTTAATGGGGTTTGTGTTGAAGGCATATCATATAATATTGGTTTTATCTTGGTAAGAGAAGAGTTTAGCTGCTGTTTTTATTTGTGTGAGTTTGCCTGAGTTTTGGTGAGTAGGTTATATTCTATAAAAGAATGTGTATCCTGAAATCCAGGAAATACTGTATACTTGTATGCTACTTTTTCTCACATGTAGTTGGGATGGTTAGCCATTCTGGTTTGAAATTTGGGGCTGCCATCAAAGGTACAGAAAATAGTCATATGTGAGTTGAGGTTCTGGGCTTTCCTTTCTTTTGCCACACTTGCATGCCTGTATATGTAAGTGGGTTTTTTAACATCCTGTCTCAAACCTTTTGTTTGAAGAGCATATATGAGTTTCAGATTAGGATGCATGCTTTGGTGTAAATGAGTGTGTTTGTGTGTGTGTATATATATACATTAGTGTTGAGGAGCCAATTTTGAAGGTATTTTATCATAGCTAGTAAGTAGTGTTTCTCAGTATTGGGTAGAATAATCCTACCATGCCTCCATCTTTGTTCTAGAGTTAGTACAGTTAGTTAGTATATGTACTTTGTTTATTCATTTACTCAGGTTCTCTTTTTGTAGGGTGGGCTGGAAATAAAACAACATGGGGAAAGGTAAAGTTCAAACTCCTATCAGGTTTTTTTTTTTGGCTGTCTGTGTCCTGCTGTGGAGACTCCACTTCACTTCCTGTCTTAGAGAAGCAAGGGGAAATTAGACAAAATCTCCCCAATGTCAGGGGAATTCCCTCCTTAGACAGCTATCACCGGAACATTTGCTCCTATTGGGAGATATCCCCTCACCTCTTGCTCTTAAGACAACCCTAAAATGTAGGATTTCCCCTTGCTTTCTGTCCAGCAAAAATAGAGGGGTAATTGCCAAAGGGTCTAAGACAAAAAATTGCCTTTACATAGAATTTAATGAGATGTCCTCTCTTCTATATTAGGTTTAGGGGGTGCTGATAAGAGAAAAGTCTTCTCTACTAACAGTTCAGGAGATGCAGAGTTTGGGAAGCCTTCTTGTTAATAGTAGATGCACGGGGTGCAGTAGTAAGGGCATGTCCACTCTTACACTCTAGATATACAAAGAAATGGATGTAGAAGAGGCAATCCTGTCTTCTACACCAGGTATGTGAGGTGCTGATTATAGAAGGGTCACTTTTCATATACTAGAAACAGGAGTTGCTGGGCGATCCATTCTCTTCTACCAGAGGTTTTCGATGTCGGCGTGTTCCTGTCCTTCTATAGTCGGTGTTGGAGGTACTGGGTTTTGGTTCTATTCTATTTGCTGGAGGTGCTGGATATTAGAGAATACCTTTCCTCTATACTACATACAAGGGGGTGCTGGAGGCATCGTATTCCCTCTCTTGTATACTATTTACAAAATGTGCTGGATATAGCCTGCCTTCTGTACTAGACATCCATATCTTTACCAGATAAAGGAAATATCTGATATAACAAGTTGCTGTCTTCTATATAGATGCAGCTGATGTGGTTATAGGATAATCTCTGTGTCCTATACTAGATACAGAAGATGCTGGTTTGCGTAGTCATTACACAGGAGGTACAGGTTATAGGAGAGGCCCTTTATTGTGTCCTAAGTGCTGGAGATGTACGACATAGTTACACCCTCACTTCTGTTTTAGGTGTATGTTATAGCATTTCACAGTATCACATTTTGTACACATTACTGCTAAATAGGATAACATTACACATTCTAAATTCAGGAAGCACTGAACATTGTAGTGACACTATCTTTGTTTCCTGCAGTTGCAGGTGCTGATGGGTCGGCATTGGATAAACTTTCAATAACCTTGTCATTTTTTGAAATCTCAACTGTTTGTCATTTTTTGTTTTTCTGTTGCTCTTGGGATCCTTTCCATATATTTGCTGTTGGGTTCAGGAATAGTGAATATGTTCCAGTAAAAGTAATATCTTAGAAATCAGCTGACTCTTGTCAGCAGAATTCACTTTAGCTGCACTTTTGTTTTAAGAAGTCAGCATATATAATCGGCTAAGAATTCAGGAAATGTTGACCATTGTTCTCAGTAAACAGAACATGAACACGCTATCATACTAATAATCTGTCTTTCAGATCTGCCATTCTGATGCAAGACTCATCAAAGGCTTCACCTCTTGCAAGAAAACACTGGAAACTATGACTGTTCAGTTTTCAGCATCATCAATGAAGGTGCCATTTTTAATGTTTCTGAAAAGGGAATAGAGTTTTCTTTCTTTCAGTAATAACTATTACATCAAGTTCCTGTGTGGTTTATTTAGTCAGTTCCTGTTCTCTACAGAAGGGTCAGAGTTAGACAAAAACTTGCTGACTGTCACTGCTGTAATGTACACATTCTGTAGTATTTAGAACCGCATTTCAAATAATAGGGTCGTGATTTGTCTTCTTTTAAGTAACGCAGACCTGCTTGCAATCCAGATGTACCCACATAATACACTTGGGTTGTATTCTATTGGCCATGCCATGTTTTTTTTCAGCTAAAACGTGGCTTAGTTAAGCACTGTGAGAATATGGAAATTGTCCTCCATTTCATAAGCATGCACATGTGGCTAAGATAAACATTCATGTAGCACGCAGTTGTAGACTCCATTTTGCATATAATGGGTGTTGCTAGCATACTGCATCTGAAAGGACCATATAACAATGCGCCGACATCGCTTTTAAAAAAAATGTAAAATAACTGACCTTGGCGACATAGCTAAACTTCACTAGGCCTTCATTGTAATTTAAATGTTTGCCATATTACAATAATAAATGATTACCCTACATGAGTATAGTCTACAGTTAACAACACAAGCCCCTTCTAGCTGTAGGGAAAAGAAAATGTCCCTAAGAGACAGTTGTACCCAATCTCCGCCCCTGAGGAGCTACGTAACTGGTTTAATTGCATTGTTTAAAAATACTGACACCTTTTCTTCTTTAGGATAATGCTTGAATAGTAACAAATTGGTTTTTAAAGTTTGTTTAAAGTTTGCTGAATTTTGATTAGCCATTCTTGTGATACACACTCTCCTGTTGGCTAATGAGGTTACTCTTCAACATTCTGGTTTGGTATTACTGTTCTTGGGTTGGCTGCCTGCTCCCTAGACAGAGGCGATGATGATTCACTGTCCTATAAGAAGGCAGAGGAGTGACATAGGAATCTGAGTAGTTTTGTCAGGAACTCTAAGGTATCAGCTCCGACTTGAAAAAAATGTTTCACGCTTTGTAATTGTACTTTTCAGCACAAAACTAGGGCTGGTACTGATTAAAATTTTTGTGTTCGATTAATCCAAACAAATTTTTAATCAATTAATTTCGATTAATTATAACGCACATATAGATCCAATTACATTGGCCTATACACATACAGCAATGAAGTAGTAAAATGAACTAGGATCACACTAATCCAGCACGTTATTAATCTCACGTGCCCCACTCAATATGGCCGCCGCTTGAGTGGGGCAACTCAGAATAATAACGTGCTGGATTAGTGTGATCCTAGTTCATTTTATTACTTCATTGCTGTGCTGTATGTGTATAAGCCAATGCCTTGGCTGGCGCTCGTGCATAACAAGTTTCTTGGGCAAACCTCTTAGTTGTAACGAAACCGGAAGTCAGGCGGTCACAGAACTCGATAAGTTCTCAGTGTCGACAGATCACTGGCCCAAGTGGCTCCGTCGGCTAACGAAGGGAAGGGGGGAGGAGTCCGGTGACGTCACGGACATCGCCGTCGCCGGACTCCTCCCCTTTCCCTTCGTTAGCCGACGGAGCCACTTGGAAAAGGGGGGAGGAGTCTGGTGACGTTGATGAAGTCACCCGATCTCGGACGGGACTCCTGGAAGACCCGGAATCGATCAAAAATTTTAACGATTCATCGGATAATTTCCGCAGCCCTACACAAAACATATCAGATGTGATCCCTGCTGCTATCTGTTTAACAAGAAAAGGTACTGCAGCCCAGATTATGGTGATTCTGTCCCATTTCTCAATGCTTTGTTTGATTTGCAATGAGCAAAGGAGCATCTGTTGGTGGGTAAAACATTAAACATATGTATTTAAATCAGTTATTTGGCTGTTTTCCAAGAGTTTTGCTTTAACAGTTCACAAATTAGGAACATGATCAATGTTGATTTTGTAATCTGAAGGTGTTTTTATGTGTTTAGGACATCCTGGTGCCTGAGGCTCTTGAATTCGATCATTGGGAGGCAGAAGGTGCGACATCAGACTGTCCTATAACAGCTGTAGTTCTGAAATGGAGTACTCTGACCACTGTGGATATGAGCCACAATCAGATCCCTTGCATTGATGATTCTGTGGTAAGGGGCTGCATTATTTTTTTTTAATAAGGGGTTCAAATAAAATAAAGGACGAGTGCACTTAAAGGAGAACTATGGGGTCAGGGCTTTTCCCCATAGTTCTCTTAAGAGTCACGGGAGAACACAAACTAGCGTACTCCCGTGACTCAAAGTTCACTAGGATACTGAGGCGCCACAGCCGGAACGGATCCCGACAATACTGTCTGGATCCACCCAGCTGCAGGATTGACAACTGGCTCTGCCTATCCAGAGGCAGAGCCAGCTGTGCCGCCCCCTCCCCCATCCATTTCGCCAGTCAGCGCTGGAGGATCGGACAGGGGAGGAGGGGGGAGTCCCTGCAGGGAGCGGTGAGTGACAGTCACAGCTCTCTGCAGGGATCGAGAAGTGAGCAAGCGACGGTATGTGTTCGCTTCAATTCCCAATCTGCTGAGCCGACCTGTGACAGTTTAATTGACACAGGTCGGCTCAGATTATGAGACTGCGTGAAAATCACTTGCCTCATAATTCTCCTTTAAGGCTCCTTAGAGTGACATCACTGCTCCCTCCCCATGCACGGATAAATACTTACTGAGTTCGAGCAGGCCTGGCATTCATTGATCATTACCATCCTGTGGCGGACATCATCGACTGCGAGTACAAGACTGCAAATACATTCCCATTAACTTCTGTAGGTTTCGTCTCTCAGCCGGGAGACGGAGGTAGACACGCACCATAGAAGATGATAGGGGTTGCATTGCGCATACGTAGCCAGTAGAAGGGAGACACAGGGTGTGAATAATCAGTGTAAGCTGGGCTCATCGGAATTCAGTAAGTATTCATTTTTGCACAGGAAGGGAGGAAGCTGTGACAGCACCTTAAAGGGGCCTAAATGTAAAGTGCACTTTGTTTTGTAGTGTAACTTCTCCTTTAATCTTCCTTATGTTTTCAATCAGTTGCATTGACATTTTGTTTTGTGCACTTTATTTGCAGAAAATTGCTCCACAAATAGAGTTTCTAGCCTTGAGTTATAATAACATATCCTCCATAGAAAATCTGCAGGTAAGTGGCCTTTTACTCTAGTGAAAAGGAATATATGTAAAGATAAACTGTTTACTTTTTTCATTTATAATACCTTTAGAATGGAGTGGCTTACAGGAAACCAGTTATAATTGATCTTATGTAAGCTTCTTAATATTCAGCCTTGAAAATGTATAAACATGCATTCTTGCCTAAGATAATGGCTCATTTTTTAGCTTTACTTACTTGGAGTCTGGAATGTCAGCTGTCACTTGCACTGACAGTTACTGTTCTCTTTTAACTATAGGCCCCTGTTTCTATGTATAGTTTGTAAACAGTGTGCTAATTCTGTTTTAAAGATTTGCAGCGATATATACGTGGATCACCATGGCACAGCAAGGAAGCCTGAAAATGCAATGAGCAAATATGGCCGCTCCATCCATGATGCAGCTATATTTGCTCATTACATTGTCAGGCTTCCTTGCTGTGCCATGGTGATCCACGTATATATCGCTGCAAATCTTTCAAACAGAATTAGCCCAGATGAAAATGATGTACTGTCTACAGTCTGTTTTTAAACACCACAATACTCCTTCATCCAGAGACTATGTGATCAGGGTTTTCTAGTAACATAAGAACTGACATCTATATGTTTGTTTTGGAAATAGATTCAGTACATAGTGGATGTAGATAAGAATACCCACTGTAATACATCATTATAGCTTAGGCATGGTGCATTAGTGCACAGGACCTCTGCCCTGCCTCTCTTGGATAATAATAGACTGGTTAGAATGTGTCTGACTGACATAATAGTCTTTTTTCCAGAAATAATTCTGTCTTGAAAAGAATGCAGCTTTGCCCTGTATTGACTTTTGAGGGTGAACATGTGATATACAGAATTTAATTTGCATCTGTATGCCTTGGGTTAGGAAATGCAGCATACGTTTCTCATTTTCTTTAAACTGTTGTTTCTTTAACTGTTTTTCCACCGTAGCAGCAAACAACACTGCTATAGATCTCTTTGGGATAAAAGGGAAGCAGATAACTAACCGTGTACTACTGGAAATTGCTGTTTGCTGTCTCTTCATCTCTTCATGCACATGCCACACATAATAAAATATTTGGTAGGAGCTCTTTAGTATATGCAGTATTTCATGAGCTGGCTGTGTGAGACCTATACTTGACTACAGCTCCAGGGTTAAAGCCCTATGCCTGTACTGCAAAGTCTTGGACCCAACACTAAAGGCCCCAAGCACCATCTGCGCATGCTAAGGTACCACTTTTGGACAGCCACTGCAGTAACATTGCTGATTGGCTCTGCCAAATGTTTTTGTCTGTCATTACTGAAGGATTCGAGGTGTGGGCAGTCTTCCGGTGCTGCTCATTTTAGGGGTAAAACAGCTATTGGAGTAGGTTTTCTAATCGGTGAACTCTATTAGTTCCCCCGAGAGCAATCAGCTGTCTGATAACTGCTGAATCTATAGACATGAGGTTTGAAATGCACAGATTAGGCAACCATCAGCAATGTCAACGTCAACTTAAAGTAAGCTTGTGGCAAAACATTATACAAATGAATTGCATGCGCTTGTCAAACAAGCCTTTCCCGAGTCTTAATTCTGTGGACACTAAACGGTGGTACAGACTGGGATCCCATAGCCAGAGCAATTTACATTTAAGTTGTTCTGTCCCTTGATCTACTAACCTTCCTTTGCTCCCCTTTCTACCTATGCAGCCTGCCTATATTGTTGTGTGATCTCCTTGACATGTTGTGAAATTGAAACAGAGGTTGTCGCCAGAGTGCGCTGATCTGCTCTAGTTGTACACATACTTGACACATAAAATATATGCCCAATCCCAAAATAGTGCATTTTTTACTTTCCTACTTTGAGATACATTTGGGTGCTGTGTACTGTACATCACTTTTTTAAAAGTTGTTAGTATTAAAAAAATGTTATTGTCACTTTCTATAGCATCTATACAACCTGATTCACTTGGATCTGTCCTACAACAAGCTGTCTGGCCTGGAAGGCATTCACTCAAAGATTGGAAATATAAAAACACTAAATTTAGCTGGAAACCTGCTAGAAAGTCTCAAGGGACTCAATAAGTTATATTCTCTGGTCAACCTGGATTTAAGCAACAACAGGATCTCACAGGTAGTCACATTTCTTCTTAATCAGTGTTTTCAGGGAATACATCTTTTGATTTGCAAACCTTTTTTCTGTAATTCCTCCTAAACGTTTTGAAATTGAGGTGTATTTTGTACTGCATGAGAGTGATTGTCAATGTTATTTCTTATTTTGATATCTTTCTACATCCTGTTTTTTTTTCTCTGCTCCATGTGGTAGATCCCAGACACCACACCAGATAAGACAGGGCTTAACAAAGCTTAAAATGAGAGTATTTTGAACTGAATGAGAGTGATTGAAAATAAGAAATAACAAATTTGCATTGATACAGTTGGAGTTTACCTTTCTTCATCCTGATTTTTGCAGTGCTATGTGTGGTAGATCCCTGATACCACATCAGATAAGTCAAGACCTTCTCTACTCTCACTTACAATGGCACACCTTGTTGGTGGTAGACATTACACTACAGTTATAGGCCACAGTTGGAAAATTGTTTTTAACTGTTAGTGTTACTAGCATGGTTTTGATTGCTGACTATATTATGATACTTTTTGGAACATGTGTAAACCTAGCCAATAAATTCTTCTCCTGAGTAGGTGAGCAGGAATTCTTATATGTACCCTTATTGAGATAGCCTGGAGAATATATGTCCCCTTTACTTGCTTCAAGCAGTTATTCTATATGCTGTTATGTTTCCAGGCCTTGCTTATCTTTGTTATATTTGTACTTTCACATAGGTGGATGAAATAAAAAATATTGGGAACCTCCCATGCTTGGAAGCTGTGATTCTGACTGACAACCCTGTGACAATTATCCCTGATTACAGAACCAAAGTTCTTGCACAGTTTGGGGACAGAGCTGCAGAGGTAAGGTCATTGTCAATCACTGAAGAAAATCTTTACCCCTACAAAACCATTTAGGATGGCAATAGGTAGGCAGATCTTCCACAGAAAACTACTGGAGGTCCTTTCTTGATTTTCCATATTGCTGGTTCCACTATTTTATGCGCATCTAAACCCAAGAACGAAAAAAGTCATATTTGGCAATTTAGCAGTGCTTCTTTCCCCTTATTTACACCTGCTGATTTTGCCAGTAACAACACTTCCTGCCCTAGGGTGCTACGATCACACACTGTTATATATATATA